TTTATTGAATTTTATTTTTTACGATTGTTTTGTTTTCACATTTTTCCCAACGGGGAACGAACACTGTCCGTTCCGTCCGATAGCCGCAGGAGAACTGTGACGAGGCATCCCTAATGCCTTCGAGTCTCGAAAAGCCACCGACGGGTGACTATTGTTCATGTACGTTTGACAATTTTATATGGCACCCTATCACCGCCATATTGTGGCATCGTGTCACTCTTTCGAGATTGCGACCCGCGCTCAGAAGCGTGATTGGGTGGGAACGTTACAAGTAATTCCCACCAACACTGTCCATCTCGAAAAATCAAGCTCTCTCTCTCTCTCTCTCTCTCTCTCTCTCTCTCTCTCTCTCTCTCTCTCTCTCTCTCTCTCTCTCTCTCTCTCTCTCTCTCGCCCGAACCTCATCGATGGCTACGAAGTCGCCATCTCCGTCTCTCTATGCAAACAGGACATACAACTGTCCACGAGTTCCGTCATTGTGGTTAGCAATGTTAGGGAAATGATGGTACAAAGAAAAGACGAAAAAAAACAAAAACAAAAAGAAATAAAGAAGCGAGCAGCAAACTATGCACAATAAACGACATACACACGCACACGCACACACACACGCAAACACAGACTCACACGCATATATTCCCACATACATACACTTGCGCCGAAGTGGACGAACACGAAGGTGTGAGACAACTCCAAACGCGCAAGCACACGACGACAAACGATGAAAAACGGCGCAGGATAGCCACGGAACACACACGAAGCAGAACACAGGCACTCACACACGCTCGTTGTAGAACGACTATGGCGTCGAGGGGATGGCACAACTGCAATGCCACCGCCAGTGGTGGTGCACGGGTGGGGAGCAGCGGACGGGCAGACAAGCTGACAATGGCTATGTGACCATGCAAATGAAACCCTAGAGATAGGTAGGGACTATCGATGCGAGAGGGTGTTTCCACAATGGTATGTAACGACGTAAAAAGATAACAAAAACGAAAATATGTTACAAACTAAATGGCAAAAACGAAAAGAAAAAAAAAGCACCACGTGAAAATCTTTGTCAAATTTTCGGTAAATGTATTCCGTTCCCACGACTGCGGGAAATAATGAAAAGTCGGCGGCCGGCCTCGCACTGGACCAGCCCGACTGTTTCGAAGGCCCTAGCTGCAATCCGCCGCCCAACTGCCTCTGCGGCCTGGGCCCGACGTCCCGCACCTTGGGACTTTGGGAGCACGGCTGGAAAGGTCGGCGACCTGCCGAAAAACCCGACCCTAACTCACAACCCCGAGGGTTTTCGACTATTCGGGAGAGTGGCGGTCTAAATGCACAATGACTACGCATATGGAAACCCCTCACTAAACGACGAAACACATTCATTATATGCAGCCATCCTAGCTGCGAACTGCCTATTCCCCCAAACGATGAAAATTGACTTATCGTGAGGGCACGAGTGCGCAACCCGTAGTTTGTATATGCTTGATTGATAAAAGAGGCGTTATTGGTGAGGTTTAGAAGTAGGGTGATTGTTGCAATGAAAAAAAAAACATTTGTGTATATGTGTCAAAATTAGCATGTGTGTTTGTATGATACTTAGGGTGTTTGTGTTTATCACATCTGTTAGTGTTGGAATGTGTGGGATTTTGGTAATTTGTGTGATATTAATGTATTAGATATTTGACATACCTTGATTCATAGTTGGTGTCGAGGCTGATGGTCCTTGAATCTTGGTCCATATGTTGTATATGTGTGTGCTTGAGTGTTTTGTCACATGTGACTCACTCAATCGGGCGCTGAACGTGTGGGGTGTTGAATACGTCCACGTTCAGACACATCTGTTTGCACTTGGCAATGCAATGCAGGTGTGCCGTTTCAACCTGCAGCGAAGGCCGCACCCTTTCCGATTCATATTTTTCCACTTTTCCACCCTGTCGTTGCTTTGCCACCGTTTCGACCAAAATCCAGCGCGCGGTCCCACGGGCAGCTACAAATCCCGCATTTTTCAAATTAACTCCCACCACCACCCAAAGATCCACCTTGCCGCTGCTTTGCCATCGTTTTGACCAAAACTCAGCGCGCAATCCCATGGACAGTTACAAGTCCCGCATTTTTCAAAGAAACCGCCACCCCCCCCCCAAAGTGTCGTGTCTACACCTGCTTGCATTTTTCGAACCTTCCAACGACCGAACAAGCCCGAATCAACGACTCGTATAACGAAGGACAACGAAAATGTATCGGGGGGAAATATCTCAGGGGGGGGAAACACACCCTTGACGGGCTGCAAACTTTTCCACTTTTCCACCCTGCCGTTGCTTTGCCACCGTTTCGACCAAAACCCAGCCTGCGGTCCCACGGGCAGCTACCGGTCCCGCATTTTTCAAAGAAACTGCCACCCCCCCCAAGATCCACCCTGCCACTACTCTGCCACCGTTTCGACCAAAACCCAGTATCCACCCTGCCACTATTTTGCCACCGTTTCGACCAAAACCCCGTGTGCGGTCCCACGGCCAGATACCGGTCCCCCATTTTTCAAAGAAACTGCCACCACCCCCCAAAGTGTCGTGCCTGCACCTGCCTGCATTTTTTGAACCTTCCAACGACCAACTGAGCCCGAATCAACGACTGGCATAACGAAGGACGATGAAAATGTCTTGGGGGGGGGAAATGTCTAAGGGGGGGAAAACGCACCCCTGATGGGCTGCAAACTTTTCCACTTTTCCTGCCGATGCTTTGCCACCGTTTCGACCAAAACCCAGCCCATGGTCCCACGGGCAGCTACCAGTCCCGCATTTTTCAAAGAAACTGCGACCACCCCCCAAAGATCCACCCTGCCACTATTGACTTACCGTGAGGGCACGGGTGCGCAGCCCGTAGTTTGTTTCGTTTTGGCTGTGG